ATTATTATTAACTTAAATTCATACTAACTAAGAATATCATCACTGTCTACAACACTAATTTTCCTTCGAATTTTTATAGAATATATACAAATTTAAAAGATATAATTTAATGTATACGTTCAATTTTATCGAATATCAAATCTATATGTTAACAATAATGATCATTTAATTGCGACTTGAAACAAATTATTACTGGAAGATAAATTATTTATATTTTCAAATACCAATCAACGATTTATTTATGTTCTTTATATATTTATATATATTTGTAAGGTCCAAGTTACAGTGCAGTAGTTGTAACAGAGGTGACTCAGATAGTCAAATGTGTATCTGTTGAAATAAAGGTTCAACATGGAGGAACGTGTTACATAGAAGTTGAAGTGAGCAGAAATAATGGATCTTACTACCTGATATCAAGGACACTCACCTGGAAGATCATGGGAATAGAAGTTAAGTGTAACTTATACCATCATACCACAAAATCATCGAAAAATACTACAAAATCCTAACTTCATTTGTGGAAATACAAACACCTGCTGTACTTGTACCAGCATCATCAAATACTTTGGAATATATTAACCGGTAATTTATATTCCAAAGAGAAGTTTAAATTTTTGCGGGAATAAATGAAGTTTCTCGTAAAACAACCGTCTATACTCAACGACTCGGCCAAATCAATGAGAGGACAACCAGTACTATCTTCAAGTGAAGGCGTTATAGGACCCTTTTCAACAAAGAAGTAGTCGAGAAATTGCAGAAAATTCCTGGGATGAGCTGTGGCATGCATTCCCTATTTGTGAGCACAGTCAATGCAGAAGTTGAACCAGTTTTTATCGTCTCTTAATATATTAAAATGATAGAAAACTCCACAATCTATAGATGTCCGATGAACAAATTAGGAGCCATCTGTAGTTCTACAACCCATCATTCAGTGCGACTGATGTCAACCACCAAATTTTAATCAAGAACGTCAACAACAATCGTATCAACAAGATCAAACTAAAACTACACTATACTCTATATTATCACACCTACTTCAGAGAAAACTACATCTATTGAAGTCAAATATTCCAAAGGATTCTTCAACCTTTTTTTTATACGATACCATTTGTCTGCAAGTGTCAGTTCTCAAACAACGAAACCTAAACTGGGATACCTAATAATCAAAATATTAAAACATATGTACATTCTGTGGTCGCTTCTCCGATATCACTTTGTTACTATCTATAAGCAACCATTTAACTATGGGGGTGTGACGTCAGAATTAATTTTCTTCCTCCTAAATTTTTTTTTTCTTATTATTTTAATTTCTCTTTCTCGTTTGATAAACTTGAAAAAAAGTTTAGAGAGTTTAAAATTTGTTTCTGAAAATAACAAATATTGATTTCTCTCGAAGAAAGAATTTTTGTCAAATATCATATTAAGATTTTCAAAGAGAAAAATCAATATTTGTTAGCAAATAGATTTAAAAATGCGTTACTTATTTGGAAACCATAGAGCGATCTCATAGTAGAAAAATCTGGACCCTTCAGTCTAAATTTGCGTGGACAGATCCCGGCGCAAGATAATGATCGGTTGACGGCAAAGCGGGAAAAACCCAAAATTCGCCTGTTTAATGACTTTCTCTTATTTTTGTAAAAATTATGTTAAAATTGAATTTTGTCTTTTTCTTGTTTTTGCAACAATTATTAATTTATTGCATGAGGAAAATATTAATTTTTAAACCAATTTTTTTATTATTATTTACTCTTTATGCGATTTCATTTATTTAATAGGATTTGAATTTTCTTTTAATTTATCTTTCTCTCTCTTACTCATAAGTACCAAACGATCAATTAAATTTATAAACATTTAAATAATTGAAATTTCTTTCTTTATTAACAATAAAGTTTAAAATTTGATTAAACAATCGTTATCTTTAATAAATATATTCAATAAAATATTAATTCTATTCATGATTTCTATTCGTGTGTAAAATAAATTCTAAAATAAATTAGAAATTACTAATTAGTAAAATTCAATTATTTAATTGTTTAAATAATATATTATTAAAAATTTAGAACTTTAATAATCCTTTGACTAATTTCAACATGGCAAAATAATAAAATTGTTTAAATTAATGATAAATGCTAATTTACTAAATTTTGTAAAAATAAAATGTTTAATACTAATACTCTACAAAATTAAGATTTAAACAATTTTAATTTAAAATGATGAAATTAAATTAGTTCTAATAATTCACAAAATTTCAAATTTAGTTACTAAAATTAGTAATATACAAATATTCGATCATTTTTAATAATAAATAATAATTGTAATCAAAATTGGAAATTACTCTATATTTTAAGGTTTATTGTAAACAACTTAAATTAACTAATTTCAGATTGTTTGTTAAAAATCGTACTAATTTTTATATAAGATTTTTATTCGATTTAATTGTAAAAATCTTTGATAATTTCTCAAAAAGGTTGAATTTTTAAAAACTTTGAATTTTACGGAAAACCTAACAGTATCTCCATCTTTTGGAAAAACTCTCAAGTTTTATCCCACTCTAAAGATTTTCAAATTCAAACGCCCACATGAAAATTTGGCAACTTTCGGAGGGACGAAACTAAGGGTCCCAATCATAAGACCCTCGATAATGAGATTTTACGCCTTCTTCTTTTTCTATTCGACAAAACTGAATTTTGCCATGCCCATACTCCTCCACTAGAAAATTTTTTAGAGGGGACAAAAGTATAAAAATTGGAACTTTGGCAAAAATCTTAACTTCACTTCTCTACACTTCTTCATTTTTCTTCTTCTTCTTCTTCATTTCTTTTTCAATACACACATTCACATTTCAACTTTGAATTTTTAAGTTTCAACTGTCCTAACTTCTTCAAATTACTACAAGTTTTAATAAGTTTTTCAAAGTTTTACAAATTTTAAAAAAAAGTCAAACAAGTTTTTGACAAGTTTTAATAAGTTTTTCAAAGTTTTACAAATTTTAAAAAGTCAAACAAGTTTTTGACAAGTTTTAATAAGTTTTTCAAAGTTTTACAAATTTTAAAAAAGTCAAACAAGTTTTTGACAAGTTTTAATAAGTTTTTCAAAGTTTTACAAATTTTAAAAAGTCAAACAAGTTTTTGACAAGTTTTAATAAGTTTTTCAAAGTTTTACAAATTTTAAAAAGTCAAACAAGTTTTTGACATATTCAAACAAGTTTTAACAAGTTTTAAAATATCAAATCAGTTTTCGACAAGTTTTATTATTTTTAAACGAGTTCTACAATCACCGAAAACCTTAAGGAGAAATTATCAAGGATTTCGACGACAAATTTATTTTGCTGCCTATTCTGTTTGCCGAAAAATTTAAATTACAACAACAAAAGTAAGTTTAATGAATAAATGTTATAAAATTAATTAATTCGTTTACATTCATTCATTTTTTCTTTTTTTTACACAAGTTTACTTTCTTCTACTCTTTACATTTTTTTCGTCTGAAATAGAAACTTGTACAACCGAGTTTCATGATGACAATTTTGAATAGGGAAAACGCGCGGTATTGATATGTATAGTTGCTAACCTTATTTTATTAAGCGCGTAGGCTATACATTTTCAATTTTCTTCCGTTAGCTTCTTTTCTTCTTTCTTTTAAACTTCCTTTTTTTTTTATACTCAAATTTAAGACAATTTAATTAATCAAGGTTTAGACTAAAAGTTTCCCGAACTATTGGACTTTAGAGTCTAGGTTCAAATATCTAGTTAATAATTATTATTAACTATTTTTTTTACTATGTTATATCTTCGGACGTAACAGTATTTTATTAAAGATCCAATGAAGAAATTTTCAAAGGATTAAAAATTATTTAATAAAAAATTAAATAATAAATAGTATTAGTGTTACAAGTCATCAAAAAAGTAAAAAAACGATCATTTGAAACACGTCCTCTCTGCTACAGGTTCTCAGCTTTTATATACTTCCAGAGTCGTCTCAACAGCGAGAGAAGTCACTTTCGCCACCTAGCGGTGAAAGTATAGGAGCGACAGTAATTTTTATCATTACTAAGGAAACCATGTGGAATACCACGTAGGATTCCATGTGGTTTCCTACGTGGGGAATTACATGGGATTTTACTTAGGAATTTAAGTAGAAATAAATTCCCAAATGAATTCCTAAGTAAAATCCCATGTAAATCCTCACGTAGGAAACCACATGGAATCCTACGTGGTATTCCACATGGTTTCCTTAGTAATGATAAAGATTACTGTCGCTCCTATACTTTCACCGCTAGGTGGCAAAAGTGACTTCTCTCGCTGTTGAGACGACTCTGGAAGTATATAAAAGCTGAGAACCTGTAGCAGAGAGGACGTGTTTCAAATGATCGTTTTTTTACTTTTTTGATGACTTGTAACACTAATACTATTTATTATTTAATTTTTTATTAAATAATTTTTAATCCTTTGAAAATTTCTTCATTGGATCTTTAATAAAATACTATGTGATATCTCATTAAATCCTAGGTGAAATCTTGCATGAAATCCTATGTCAATTCCCATATAAAATCCTATGTGAAATCCCTTGTAAAATTCCAAGTGGATTCCCATGTAGGGATATTCAATAAGGCGGATAATGTTTTTCACATGGGATTTGGTTTAGGATTTGACATGGGAAAATAATTATAAATAAATGATACTGTTTTTCACATGGGATTCGGTTTAGGATTTGACTGGGAAAAACATGTGGGATTTGATATGGTTTTATGCATAGATGAACTGTTCAAATTCCCCATGTCTATTCCTAACTAAAATCCTGTCTCAATTTCCCATATGGTTTGACATGGGAAACCACATGGTAAACCACGTGGTTTCCTTCATGGAAGTAGGGTTTTACATGGTTTTTGACATAGGATCCCATGTGGTTTCCCATGTGGTTTCCCATATGGGGATTTTCAATAGGGTTAGGTCTAGGGTTCGTGTCTCTCCCATCGGTTAATAATTTATTTCGTAAATATGCAGTTATTCAATAAGTGGTGTGTATTAATTAACAATAAGGGACCGTCCATAAATTACGTAACACGTTTTTAGTGAAATTTTAAACCCCCTCTCCCCCTATGTAACAAGTTGTAACAAAATCGTTTTACACCCCCCCCCCTCCTTATCAATGTTACGTAATTTTTAAAAATATTTTTTTACTAACGTTTTTCGAAACAAATTTGTTTATTACTGTTATTTTTAGTATTTATATCGTACAATAGCAATACAAAATTAAGTTAAATATAAAAAACATTTAGAGGAATAATTTTATTAATCATACTGAACAACCAAAAATATAACATTGATTTTTTAACAATAAAAATTGTATATTATTCCCAAGAATCGGTTCGCGAAATGATTAGATTTTTACTTATATTGAAGTGGCGGCAAGGGACAGCTTTTCAAAAATATATCCATTATAAAGAGATTAAGTTCCTTATAAATATTACGTAACAATGATGATTGACCCCCCTCCCATGTAACATATGATAACATTTTCTCGAACCCCCCCTCCCCCCTAAACGTGTTACGTAATTTATGGACAGCCCCTAATGTGTATAAAATATCTCAAGTGACATTGAATTTAATAATTTGAGTGATTCCAATTTTTTGTTTCCCATTTCCATTACTATGGATCACCCAACCATAGATCTTTTGCTGCTCCAACAATATACAGCCAGCCATAGAATATGGATGCAGCAACCTTAACTATGGATATCCCGTATTTTTCAATATAATATGGCTGTGATATCCATGTATCTGGATGTGTCAACTATTCCTTTTTCTCCGTGAGCGAATAGTATATGCGGTGAGTTTCTGCCAATATGTTTTCGCGTGAAAACCGTATTGGCAGAAACTCACCGACAATACTATTCGCTCTCTTCCAATACTTTTTTTTTACTGGGTGGAAATTGTAGAAAATAATTGAATTCAGGAAGGGTTATAATTGTCATTTTAAAAAATAATTAAAATCATAAATTTTACTCATTTTCCGTAAACATTCATATTTTCCTGTAAAAAGAATTTTGTCAGGGAAATTAATTTTAATATCAGTAAATTGTCAGGGAAATTGATTAACTGAAACTTATGATCATTCTGATTAAGCTTAACCCATTAAGGACCAGACGGACGAAAAATTTCAATTGACTTTGAGGACCTCGTTTTTTATTAAAATGCGTATATAAAAATTGACACATAACATTTTTAATGTAAAATTTTCTCCTCTTTCAGATTCTGCTGTTAAAATTTGTTTATACCAAATTGTTAAAAAGTTATAAACAATTTTTTCCAAAAAAACACGATTTTGCGAGAAAAAATTTCATTTCAGACGTATTTTCACCTGAAAAAAGTAGGTGGATACTCTCAAAAGCTCAAAATATCGCGTCCATGGACCCTCATCTACAAAACCCTGAAGCAACCAATTTTTTTTCAAAATGGCGGACGCTAATATAGCGGCTAAAACTAAAAAAATGACTCACATATGAAACATAGTGCTCCAACTTTTTCAAGTCACTGAAAACGCCTGAAATTCGTTACTCAGAGGTTCTTGGGGTCGCTGATTACGAATATGATGTCAGTTTTCAAAAATTCAAAATGGCGGATCCAATATGGCGGATCAGTTTTGAAAAAAAATTGGATTCACCTGAAAATCTCTACTCGGGGGTTCTTGGGGTCGCTGATTACGAATATGATGTCAGTTTTAAAAAATTCAAAATGGCGGATCCAATATGGCGGATCAGTTTTTAAAAAAACATTTGGATTCACCTGAAAATCTTTACTCGGAAGTTCTTAGGGTCGCTGATTTCGAATTTGATAATTGTTTTCAAAAATTCAAAATGACGGATCCAATATGGCGGATAAGTTTTGTAATAATTAATTGGATTGACCTGAAACTCTACTCGGGGGTTTTTCGTAAAAATTGAACATGTATCGCTATTGGAAGGTACATTTTGTACTTAACATTATTTTCCATGAGTGACGTTTTTCTCCCAAGTGTCTTTGTGTATTTGATAACTTTATGAAGTTGACGGCGAAAAATTTCTATGTGGCTGATGTCCAGTTATCGGTTTAAAGTAATTTCAGTAGTTTAAGAAATTTTTTTATAGTTATTAAGATTAAATGAATCATTATGAAACCTTTTTTTCTTCAAAATAGATGTACTGAGCTACATAAGATAATTTTTATAAAAGATAATATCCTATTCCAGCTTGAAGAGCACACAGTAAAGCTCCCGGGCGTCGCACACCCAGTGTGAGGTTTAAGGATGGATTCCTACACAGAGAGAAAAACAAGGCTTTTCCCCGTGACTTCAATTCAAGCCTTTTTCAGGTAGCAGTTGCACCCGATTTCTTGATGAATTTCTTGCGTTTAGCGGTTTGGCTACGCCTTAGCCCATATTGGCCTAAGCTCGTTGCAAGAATCTCACCGAGAAAAACCGTGAGTGTCCTGCATTTGTACTGTGATAATTTTCACGCGTTAAATGTATATTTTTCAGGGGGTAAAACCTTGTTTTTTCTCTCCGTGTATGTGTGCGCTTTAAGTGTTAAAATGTCGAATTTGATCAAAACTCGTTACTCGGGTGTTTTTGGGATCACTGATTATAAATACGGTGTAAGTTCTTCAAAATTTAAAATGACAGTTCCAATATCGCAGAATTTTAAAAAAAATTATCCTGATTGACCTAAAACTGTATACTTCTGGGTTTTCAAGGTCACTGATTACAAATCTTATGTCAGTTTTTTAAAATTCTAGTTCAGAGTTTTTGAGGTCGCTGATTTGGAAACTGACATTATATTCGTAATCAGCGGTTCCAAAAACCACTGAGTAGAGTTTCAGGTCAATCCAATTAATTTTTACAAAACTTATCCGCCATATTGGATCCGCCATTTTGAATTTCTGAAAACTGACATCATATTCGTAATCAGCGACCCCAAGAACCCCCGAGTAGAGATTTTCAGGTGAATCCAATTTTTTTTTTTCAAAACTGATCCGCCATATTGGATCCGCCATTTTGCATTTTTGAAAACTGATATCATATTCGTAATCAGCGACCCTAAGAACCCCAGAGTAGAGAGTTTCAGGTGAATCCAATTAATTTTTACAAAACTCGTTCGCCATATTGGATCCGCCATTTTGAATTTTTGAAAACTGACATCATATTCGTAATCAGCGACCCCAAGAACCTCCGAGTAACGAGTTTCAGACGTTTTCAGTGACTTGAAAAAGTTGGAGCACTATGTTTCATATGTGAGACATTTTTTTAGTTTTAGCCGCCATATTAGCATCCGCCATTTTGAAAAAAAAATTGGTCGCTTCAGGGTTTTGTAGATGAGGGTCCATGGACGCGATATTTTGAGCTTTTGAGAGTATCCACCTACTTTTTTCAGGTGAAAATACGTCTGAAATGAAATATTTTTCTCGAAAAATCGTGTTTTTTTGGAAAAAATTGTTTATAACTTTTTAACAATTTGGTATAAACAAATTTTAACAGCAGAATCTGAAAGAGGAGTAAATTTTACATTAAAAATGTTATGTGTCAATTTTTATATACGCATTTTAATAAAAAACGAGGTCCTCAAAGTCAATTGAAATTTTTCGTCCGTCTGGTCCTTAATGGGTTAAGATATCTTTTTTGGAAATATCTTTGATTATATGTCCACGTTGACATTTGCTTTAACACCCCCCCTCCCCTTCGTGGACAAACGTGAACTTTTGATTCACCCCCCCCCCCCCAAATGTGTCCACGTGGTTTATGGACGGCCCCTAACTGGCTAGGCATTTAGCTATTCGACAAACGCAGTTTAGGCCAATAGAAGAAAATTATATATTTAATAAAATTTTCATTTATTGAAATATTGGAACGCTTTATTTACAAGTTTTTCCATTGCCATAGGGTCAGACCAGCTCAACTGTGTTAAAAAAATTTCATTGATTTTCTAAAATGTTAAAACTTTTATAAAAATCTGTAGTTCACAACAAAACAAAAAAACACTTTCAACCGTTTTTTGAAATTTAAAATTTTTGTCATTTTTTTATTAACAAAATATTACAACATTTTTAATAAAAATTAACTCAAAAGCCGTTTACAATAAATTAATGAAACTTACACTCATTACACAAAATTGTTCACTCTTTTAAAAGAAAATACTTGAATGATTGTTAATTTAAAAATTCCGTTTGTGGTCGTTTTTATTTATTACATTTCCTAAATCCCTGCCCTCCACTGATAGACTGTTTTGCTGCTGCTTACAGTTATAATTAATTTAATTAGGAATAATAATAATTAGAAAGAATAGTAACCAAAAAATAATAATAATATAAATAATTTTAATAATAAATAATTGTGTTAAATTATAATCAATAAGTATTTAAATTTTATAGCAATGGAAAAACTTGTAAATAAAGCGTTCCAATATTTCAATAAATGAAAATTTTATTAAATATATAATTTTCTTCTATTGGCCTAAACTGCGTTTGTCGAATAGCTAAATGCCTATCCAGTTAGCTAATTGCCTGATCCCTTCAGGCGAATAGACGAATAATAGTAATATTGAAGCTCGTTCGTCTATTCGGCGCCGATTAGCTAACTGCCTAGGCGTTTAGCTAAATGACGGATTCTTCTATTTGCCTACGACATATACAGTCAATTAATTCATTTTATGCCCTTTTTAAAAATAATTTAAAGTAATTAAAAATTTTATGCCATTGAACTTTATTAAATTTTTTTTAATTTTCATTACCCCATCATAATTAAATTGCTTACGAAATTAAATAGAATATTGTTGAGTATTTTATTTGAAAATAAAGTCCAAGAGTCAGATGAACATCCTCAGGGAATTTTGGTTTCTATCGAATAATCATAGCTATAGACTAACCGTAAAGTGCACCCGGGTGTCCAGGAGAAGTGAAAATCATCCTCAGGGAATTCTGTTTGTTTCGAGTAATCAAAATAATACTAAAGAACATCCGGGTATCCAGGAGTCAGGTGAACATCATGTTTAGGGAATTCTGTTTGTTTCGAGTCATCATGCTGCCAAAATAACACTAAAGAACACCCGGCTGTCCAAGAGTCAGATGAACATCTTCTTCAGGGAATTTTGGTTTCTATCGTATAATCATAGCTATAGACTAACCGTAAAGTGCACCCGGATGTCCAGGAGTCAAGTGAAAATCATTCTCATGGAATTTTGGTTTCTATTGAATAATCATAAACATAGACTAACCCTGAAGTGCACTTGGGTGTCCAGGAGTCAGGTGAACATCATCTTCAGAGAATTTTGGTTTCTAATGAATAATCATAGCTAAGGACTAACACTTAAATGCAACTGGATGACTAAGAGTCAGTTGAACATCATCTTTAGAGGATTCTAGGAAAATCATAGCTCTAGATTAAACCTAGGTACACCCGGATGACAAGGACTCAGTAAAACATCATCATCTGGGAATTTAGGTCGCCATCGAAAAGCATAGCTTTAGATTAACATTAAGATACACGCAGATGTCCAAGAATCAGTTGAACATTATCCTGCAAATCACAGTCTACCTTGATGTTAATCTGAAGCTACAATTATATGCTATGAACACTAAAATTTATTTAAAATAATGATCTACTAACACCCAGACATTCCGGGTACTTAAGTGTTAGTCCTTAGCTATAATTATTTTATAGGAACCTAAATTCCTTGAAGATGATGTTCATCTGACTCTTAGACATCTGGGTGTTCTTTAGCGTTATTTTGGCTGCATGATTACTCGAAAAAAACAAAATTCCCTGAAGAGGAAGTTCACTTGACTCCTCGACACCCGGATGCACTTTAGGGTTAGTCTAGATCAATGATAATTTAGTAGATACCAAAATTTCCTGAGGATAATTTTCACTTGAAACCTGGACACTCGGGTGCACTTTAGGGTTAGTCTATAGCTATGATTATTCTAAAGAAACAAAAATTTCTTGAAGATGGTGTTAACCTGACTCCTGGACAGCCGGGTGTTCTTAAGTGTTATTTTGGCAGCATGATGACTCGAAAAAATAGAATTCCCTAAACATGATGTTCACCTGACTCCTGGATACCCGGATGTTCTTTAGTATTATTTTGATTACTCGAAACAAACAGAATTCCTGAGAGTGATTTTCACTTGACTCCTGGACATCCGGGTGCACTTTACGGTTAGTCTATAGCTACGATTAATCTAAAGAAACAAAAATTTCCTGAAGATGCTGTTCACATGACTCCTGGACACCTGGGTGCACTTTAGTGATTGTCTATAGCTATGATTATTTTGATGGAAACCCAAATTCCCTGAAACTGTTGAAAGTAATCGAAAATTACGGGTACTCGAATTATTCGAGTAGTCGAGTGAATTCGGGTACCCGAAAAATTCGAGTACTCGGTACTTCGATTTAAGCTCGGCTCGGCCATTCGAGCTTTTTGCACACCTCTAATTTTTATGGGAGAAATCTTTAAATCTTTCGAAATTAATAAAGGGAAGGAAATACGTAGCAATACGTCTTCGAAACAAATTTTTTTTGTTATAATGGATTAGGACATGTTAATCACTTATGATATAATAATAAATAATAATTTAGTTTTTGGATAAGATTATAAATTATGTATTATGTTATTTTTTTTCCTTTTTGAATTTTGAATTTGGCAATATTACCAGAAGTAACATTGACCTAGGAAAGAAGTTTGTATCGAAAAAAATCCTTTCTTAAACTTACTTTATTTTGGGAGCGAAGGTTTTTTTGAATTCGTTGCGTTCAATTGTGATTATCTGTCCTTCCTATGTGTTTTCATCTTTCTTACTTATTCATCTGTTTCCATATCGTAGTCAAATGTTATTAGAAACAAGTTACACATAATTATAATGGGAATATTCACATGGTCAGCGTCTTCCTTCTTATTTCTTAACAGATGTTTAGAGATGGGGTCCGCGAAGAGAGAACGATAGAGGACAATGAGGAAAAGTCGGAAAAGGAAGAATCAATTTGTGGTGAAATTATTTAGCGTCCCGAGGCATCCTGATATTGAAGTCGTTCGAATCCAGTTAAAGATGGTTGCAAAGTCTCGAAAGGTTGGTTAATAAAATATTAATTAGCAATAAATAGGTCAGAGGTTCGTGTGCATTTTCGATCGCATTTTTAGTGAACTTCCCGATTGAGATTTATTGTACGGTAATTATTAAAGCAGTTAAGGAGAATTTGTATGAGAAATTAAATGACAATATTCATTATTTAAATTTCTTTAAATTTATATAAATGATAAACTTTCTCCTTTTTACAATTTATGTCGGGAATTTATTATTGGTTTAACGACATGAAGTTGACATTAAAAGACATTTAAAAATTATGAATTAGGTTTACAGAGTTCCTTGATAACTACGTCACAAGGAGTACTGTCAACTGGACATTATATAGTACCCGATGTTGAAAGAATATTAAAAATATGTACAGTGGAACCATACATTTCGATCTGTTTTCGATATCAAATCGGTACTAAATAACAATGTTGATTTTGTGTCGAAAGTTAATGTCGATCCTGTGCTGCTATCCAATGTTTATAGAATGTTGAAATCAGAACAAGTATATATTAACAACAAATCATAAAATTTAAGACGAATTCTTCATTAATAAAAATTTACAATTACAACTGACATTTTATATTATAATTCAATTACGTAATTTTCACATTATAATACAAATTTTTGTAAAATTTTGTATACGCGTTATAAGACTATAACATATGATCACATATAAAGATAATATGAAGCTCCGGAATTAATAAAAATTTTACAAACATCACACTGTGGTAAGGCATCTGTGTTTATACATTCGTTTATACTGGACGGCTATGCTTGAAAAAGTGTAAAACAAGAGTCAGAGAGAATTGCATTATGAATATTATTCTTAATCATTTTAGTCTCTCTCGCGCACTAACACACTTGTGCTGTAATATTCATGAATTATCATTTTCGATAAATATTAAAATTAACAATAATTTGTGTTTTGAATAACAATTTCATATTCTACTCTTCAGCATCTTCTGTATCGAAAATCGTCTTAAAGTAGAAAGGTTGGAAAGGATAACCATGACCTTCATAAAACTTGCTCATAAATTCCACCCTAAAACATAAAAACACAAAAATTAATTGAACAATCAGATTTCTACTGACCTAATAAAAAATATTATATTATGCAACCGACGAGTCGGAGCAACCAAAGTGGTTGAAAGCATGGGTAAGGTGCTGTCGATAAATCGAAGAGTTATGCTCGAGATCCGCGACCAGAAGAAGATTAATTTTAAAAAAACGTAAAAGTTATTAGGTATTTGTACTTTTTTAAAAATATTTACCAATGAAGACGAAGTGTGTGCAAAAATGCAGAAAGGCCTTCCATCATGACTAAAATGGCTAAAGTAAAAAGAGACCAAGCTCCAAATGTTACGAATAAAACGGCTGCTTTAGCATAATTTCCTTCTGTAGCGCCTAGACCTTTCTGCAATACCATGTTCCAAAGAACTTCGGAAAGTTGAGCATGAGCCAGAGACAGTGCCCACAGCCGTAAATATGATGCAGTGTGCGATATTGTAGACAAAACGTATTCTATTGTATGAATTCCTTGATTGATCATCAGCTCACCAAAACCTCCACTATCATGGTCATGTCCTCCTACTGCGTTTCCTCCCGACGTTGTTGCAGTTAACTCATAACCTTCCGGTTGTAATTCAATGTCTTGAGTCGTAGAACCGTTTGTCTAGAAAAGAAAATTGTTTTAGAAAAACAAATAATGTTATATAACAATTAACTTTTAGAAATTTAAGTTAAGTCTATGCGTCAACGTAATTCTATTATAAAATTCTTGGACTTTCTATAAAACTTAAAAATGAAGAAGTTCTACTGGTCATGAACATTTACCATAATCCTGCCTGGCTGCTTCTTCGAAAATTTAATATAGAGTGGTTTTCCAAATAGCATAACTGGAATGCAGATCAAAGCCAAATATACACAGACCAACTGAAGAGGTTTTTGACCATCAAACATGAATTCTGAACAACCTTTTTGAACTGGTGAACTCTTAAACAGCATCATATTTATGAAAGTAATTAATACAGAAGGCGCACAACCCGGCCTGTATTTCATGTCTGTAATAGAAAAACGGATTGTATTAGGGTTTGAATTTTCCAACCATAGTTATATTCATAGGTTAAACATTTAACCTCTTTCGTACCATCGTTTGTGGCGGAGTAGAGAATCCATTTCAAAAACATGAGCGTCACCATGTAGAGAAACAAAAGTATAAGAAATAGAAGTTGAGGCAAGAATTCGAGGAAGAGGCTCGCGTATTTCTTAAAGTGTCTGAAAATTTTCAAGATAAAATATTTTAATGCTATGTACAATTATAGTCGTTTTGTTTTGTAAATAACAGTCCCAAAAAGCCAGAATAAAAGAATATGAAACAAAGCTTTAAACATATTTTTAAATTGAATCTACATTTTGTTCTAATCTTTTTCTGTCACTTATAATATAAATGTTTCCAGATAGCACATAAATTAGTAGAAATCTTGACATGCAAGTTTGAGACGAATTTAAAATTTTCCAATACAAGCTTTTCTGATAAGCTTGCGTGCAATCTTACTGCAAGATTAAGTGGTATTTCGGTAATGTAACTATTTACACTCAAAAAAAACTTTCCAATAGAAATGTTTGTACTATCAGATAGTAGAGTTTTACAAGTAAAAGTGCTTTATCTGGAACAGCTAAAAACATTATATCTATCACTAAAAACATTGGGCGAAAAGATTCACTAAAATAAAATAGAGTTTATTATCAAATTTTGTTGTTGTTAAAGATAAAACTTTCACTATTCTGTAAAACTCTGTTCTAGGTGAAGTTTTTTTCCTTGTACAGCATTAGTACTTAAGTGTTCAGTTATTATTACTTTTTTAATGAAATGTTCTTCTTTAAATTAATAAATTTAGAATGAAACTTACATAATATTGACAACACTCATACAAACTCCAAAAATCATATGTACAACGCCAAAAATAATCGACAGCTTCATCTTATAAGAATTCAGAAAGATAATTTTATTCTCCGAAACCATCCATACAGGATCTAACCCCAACGGATAAGGTGATTGGCTGTAACCTTCTGTATTTGGATTCAATTGTAGAAAGTGATTGTGTTGTAATGTGGAGTAGTTGTAAGTCGATTGCCAGCTAGATCCAAATACGTTAACTGATTTTGAGAACAGATCATTGTAGATAATACCAGTGTAGATGGAAAACAAACCCATTAGGAGTATAATATAACGACCTCCAAAGAAAATGTTCCAAATTTCATTGTTTGTTTTTTTCGCAGAAAGCTTTTTTTCCCATACAACCATAAAAAGTCCAAACAACGTCATGATCAAACCTATGTAGATATACATAATATATTATTCATTACTCCTCACACAATATTGGGTTTATTTTGTTTTTCGAAATTGTACGAACAGTAGAAAATTAAATTATTATTAATAAAATGTAATGCTTTTAGAAGTAAAGATAAAATTATATTCTGAAATATAATCTTTATTATTAAAAAATATTTACCATAAATTCTATTTTTTACCTATATGAATGGGTCTTAAAAATTAGATTTTAGAGATTTAAATTTTTTCTTCTATCCTTCTTTTGCAAAGAAAATCAAAACTATCCGCTTTTATTATTATATGTATTATGTAAGAAAATTATCAACCACTCAAAAAATATCTTTTAGAAATAGGCATTCATATTAAAATCTATAATGTAATTTATATGAATACGTACCATGACCTGCATCACCAAACATAATACTAAAAAGGAACGGAAAAGTAATTATAGTATATAAAGCAGGATTTGCTTCACGATAGGAAGCTACTCCATATGCATCAATTAAATTCTGGAAACCTCTCGTAAATTTGTTAGTTCTATTAAATGTTGGCGGATCTTCATCCGTATGAATGACATTCAAGAAAGATGGTATTGAATTTCCACAAAGACACTGAAAGTTAAAAGTGATCTATGAAAAATGACATAAAAACACACTAAGAATCCTGAATTAAACATGAACACCATTAAATTGCACTATATTAAAATATTAACGTCAAATCCCAGTAACAGTAATTGGCCAAAGGTAATATTATATTTTCATAAAAATATATAAAAACAATATATGTGAACCTAAATCATCAAAATATTTTTAAAAATAGGGTAACAAAATAATGTTCGATAAGCACTTTATAAACTCTGTATTCGTTTTGAGATTTAAACGTCTACTGTATAAAACATTAAATGAATAATATAAAAAAATACAATAAATCTTAATAATTAAAAGTATAAGATGCGCAAGAGAGCAATGAAAAGAAGAATTTTTACTTCCGATGAAAAGAAAAAGATATTAATTTGTCGCGTAACTGACCTTTATTTCTAATCAATATTCTTCTGTAATTGTAAACTAAAATAATTAAGATAAATTAAAAATATCTACAATAATGTTTTTAATTTTTTTTTAAATTTTCAGTCAAGTTTTGGAGGGTGACCATCTTGGGACACTCTACCTTCTAACGAGCAAATATTTATCTATTTGTTTACTTGAGAACGAATTTAAATCAATAAAATTGGCATTTTTTTAATTGTTCAATAACTCTGAAAATGATAAATATATTCTTTTGACATTTAGAAAATATATACCTCTTAAGACCCTTTGTAACTGAGCATTAGCTGGACCTGATTAGATAAATAGTTTTTGCAAAATTTTCATCCCCAATAGCACACGTAATTTTCCATTTACATATTTCTAAAATATACCATCCACAATTTAAGAATATTAAAGTATCCGACTTTTAGAATACGCTCCTTTGAATAATAAAGGATTATTACATTGGAATTCTATAAAAATATTTTTATATTACTATTGATGATATAGTAATCAAATTTTGCAACATTTATAAATTATCAATTTATTTTGAACTATTCCCTATTCCTAAATAATGTGGATGGAATTTTACTTAGGAATATTGCAGGAATTTGAATAGGATATTCCGAACTATTGGGGATTTGTTAAATAAAAGCATCCTTTTTTATATGCATTTGACAAGTATCATAAAAAAATGGAATACACTGAATATTATTATTATAGAATATAATAGAATATTATTATAAATTTATTCAAATGATTAGATCTATATCAAAGAATGGATACTAACCGACCCTTCCGTAAGGCAATTTTGGACAATTGCTAGATCTGCAACAGGGACCCAACATTCTCCAATGAGGCATTTTTTTGAAACATCCATGTTAAAAAGATTCATTGTGTGATAAATAGCTTTCATTTTACGAACCATTATGCTCCAGTTTGGTAGTTCTTTAGCTACATTGTGTAGAACCCGTTGTCTATGATCCTGAGTTTGGTTTAGAACCTGATATAAATAATAATAATAGTAATAATAATAGATATCAGATTGTTGAGAGCGTAAGATTAGCTAAACTGCTACCAGGCAGCACATAATATTACTTAAATATCATGCTAAAATTATATTAATTATTCCACAGCCCTACAAAAATACAAGTACCGTGCGCATGTGATCATAGTTACTCTATTTCCATTTTTTGTGGTGTGAATAAAAATCTAAGGGCACATTTCTTCCATCACATAAAAATTTTCTTCTAATCTCAAAAAACTGACAAAACTTATGAAGCTTTATGTAATGGTTGATAAATTTATATAAAACTTATTACTCGAGTGTTTTTGGGATCTTTAATTACAAATTTTAATTCAAATTTACAAAACTAAAAGTAGCGGAAACCTCAGATTCGTGTTTAGTGTATTAAAACAGATAACAGTAAGGTTGTGCCGTCAAATACGCAGGATATTTGTTTTTTGATGTGTTCTTAATATTACTGTCTACTTTACAGTATTAAAGAAATTACGTTTTGCTAAAAAATTTTAGCAATAGCCACTTTAAATTATTAAATGGCCATCTACTATCTGGTTTACATAATAAATTTAAAGTATGAAATTTATAATCCGGAAAATTGAAACAGTTTATTGGCATTTTTGTAATGAGCTAATGGAAAATTTCATCAAGTAAAAGGAAGCATACCGTAATTTTACAGTAATATTAAAACATTTTATTGCATACTGCTTAAGCTGCTGACAAAGTACAATTTTAACATGTAAAAATATATTTAATAAATAACTATTCATATTTATGTGGTTTATGTTGAATCAAAAGTCTGGTCTCACTTACTTGACATCCGGAACTGTTGTCAATTCTTAAAAAGTGTAATTCTCTGCATTTTAAAGTGTTAAATAAGGAGTTGAAATTTTTTCAAAAACGATTGAAATTTAGTTTTCGGTGAAGTTTAAAATATTAGGTTGTAATGAAGAAGTTTGTTAAATATTTACCAAATTTAGATCCTCTAAGCGAGTACGAACTCCTTTAACCATTTCTAATCGTTCAGAATTTGTATTTGGACAAGGGTAAAGAGACGCATGAAATCCAGAGCATACTTTCTTTATACGGCTTTTCAGTTGTTCTCCTTGAAAAAATGCAACGAACGCCGTCTTGTAAATTTCATTACCCTAAAAAAGATCAATAAGAAATAACAGATGATATTCATTACTCATCTATAAGAATTATAACCTTCTTTAACTAAATTTTCTTGAATGAATTTATAGTTGCTATTTTAGTAATAAGGAAATCCTACACATTCTTAATTGACTAAAATAAAATATAATTTAATAATTAATATGTTAAGATATTAAACATTACATGAATGCATGACTCATTAACCCAAATTTGGTAGTGACAAAAATTTTAATAAATTTTTCTCAGTCATATTAATGTAAAAGGTGGATTTTAGTTAAATTTAATGTTAAACAAAGTTTTTATGTCGGAGAATTAATATATTTTTGGTAGAAAGATAAGATTTTCAAATTATAATCAAAGAAATGTGAAATAAATGTCTTACTGTGCTTGGATCTTCTAAAGGTTTTTCAAGTTCTGCCTGCCGTAGAAAAACGTTTCCCCTGGATATCCGCCACAGCATCCGCTCGAAGGCTGGAATTCGCTCCCGATTGATCACGCCAGCAACGAACCTGAAAAAGTTAAAATTTAATTGTCCACTTTTTAACTAATTATAAAAAAAGAAAGAATATTTAGGATTTATCAACGTGGTAAGAGTAAAATACTTAATTAAAATTATAGAAAATCACACTGATGACATACGGATGATAATATACTGTGAAACATCTATCTAATAGATAACTGTCAAATCAGGAGATCAAATCACAATTAATGCTTAAGTGTAGTAATTTACTTAAAAGTATGAGATGATCAACTTTGTCCAAAGCTTTGGCAAAATCGGTACGAACAAGAATTAATTTAAAGTATTATTTCTATCATTCTAGGCTTTGAAAATACTATATCAAACAACTGATACTGAACTAACTTTATTAAATTAAGTAAAATTGGATAATCGAGACCGGAGGAAACTATCAAATATTAATGTCTCAAATAATTCTTGAATTAACAGACATTCATCAAGGCTGTTATCTACTTTAAAGTAAGCATTTAAATCTCCATCTAATTATTTCCTTAATTACATATTATCAATTACCTCACGCATAATCAATTACATATAAAATAGCTGACGTACAAGAAAAACTTACTAAATTAAAGAAGTTAAGAGAGACTTTAAAGTCCGCAGCTTCACACGATTTTCTAATTATATTAACAGAGAGTGATCAAAATGCACACATTGAAATGAAAGTTAGGCTACAGAATATTGATGGAATATTACCAGAGTTTGAAAAGATACAAGTAGAGATTAATGCGTTGTCAGAAACAGAATCAACAGGTAAAGAATTAGATGAATCTGAAACACTATATTTTAAAAACATTACGTGAGTGCATTAGTTATTAAATTTGAATCCGAATTTTCAACACGAGCTCTCTAATGCTGTTTCGTTTCAATTATCCAATCAAGGTAACAAGTTTTCGACAATTAATAATAATCAAAATAATGTCCGATTGCCAAAAATTTAAATTGTTAACGTTAAACGGTTCTTTAAATAATTGGCTTGAGTTTCATGATTCCTTTAAGTGAATGGTCCATCACAATAAAAAACTTGCAGATATTTAATAATTAAATTATATACGGTAATTATATAGGGCTTGTTAACTTATTCCACTTTTTGAATTATTTACGTTCATTTGTTAAAGACGAGACAGAGCTTTTTGTTTTGACGAAGGGTTTAGGGTGAAAAATTTCTGTAGATTTCGCAAAGCGTCTAGCAATGAAACTGCAACAATGAAGAAGAAGAAAGTTCACTTTGAAGAAACAAAATTGATTATTTCAAAGATGTTACAACTGAAAATGTGAAAACTACTGGCATACTGTACAGTATAAGAAGAATATAAAAGATAACAGTAAAGTTACTTTCTTCTAATCAATTACCTTACATATCTCATTGACAGTACAAATTAATAAGTTTGAGCACTGAAACCATATGTGTAGCCAAAATGAATAAGACGAGGAACAAATTTAAACCGAATAAATGAACTCAACTAATGTTAGACAATCTTTTCAATGAATTTAGAAAAAATTATAGTGTTTTAAATGATTCTGTTGCGAGTTACAGCGTACACCGCAAAACAACATTTTTTGGAGGCGCCTAAGAATGGTCCAATCAGCGTTCCTTAGACAATAAGGCTCAAAAGAAATCATCGTCTTTTAGATTTATAGAATTAAGAGAATTATTACTGCAAAAACCTTTTGTTATTTCTTTTCCTTTAACAATCAACTGCAATTAAGTGACGTGTTTTTACTGTTTTTAGAAAATAAGTTATTTCAAGTTTAACTACCAGAATTTAAAGATTTAAAATCGTTATATTATTCGAAAAAATTATTTTTATTTTATCGTGATGTAAATTACAAAAGAATAGAGTACTACATATTTAACGAAATTATGTATACGGAAAGTTCTATTGTTTTAAATAGTAATGAACAATTCCCAGAGTTTTCAAGGATAGAAACATTATTTTCCAAACATAATGCCAGAGCTTACACATTGAGAAAGATCTCTTTTTAGTTATTTAGTTATATGTTAAAACATTTCCTATTAAGTACTAGTAAAGGTCATCATCATCACTAAATATTTTAACACAACAGCATCACTTATGGGATTTATATAGATTTGACTTATGTCAGCATTTCTTTTTATTATATGTTAAAAGTCACAGTTCAGAGATTACGTGTACCTTTTATTTTATAAAATAATCTCTCAGTCTCAGTCTTTAAAACCGCATTGACAGTGTGTCGTGCTAAAATGTAATTAGATATATAAAAATGATAGAAAACTCACTCGAGTCGTCCGCGACTCGTGGCGCTCTGATTCTGTGCCTCCTCGTTTATCAGTGCCCTGGTGATTGAGTCGTTGGCCTCTTCCTGTTGATACAGAAGAAGAAGCGAACCTTGATTCTTCGACAAAACGTGAACACCAATTACACGAAGGGGGATGGCGCAAAGAGATAAGCAGCCGAACTACTTTTAGGTACCTCCGTGAAAAAAACCTGCGTTTTCTCGAGCACGTGACGCAACTCCGTAAGCTCAAGATAGTTACTCTTCAGGTTCACCGCATTGTGGCTCAGCTCAAGTATCTCGTTCTCCGTCTTTTCTAGGTGCGCCTGCCCAAGATTATAAAGATTTAATTACAAACTGTTTCAGAATAATTGACTTCTTCGTTAAAATTAAAAAAAAATTGTGAACAATTTGGTTTGACATAGGCTTCTCTTATTGTTAATAGAAATTTTTACTTATGCTAAAAACATCAGCAAATATCACATAAATACCATACCTCAAGGTCTATAATTTCCCTAGGATTTGGGGCGCGTGGCAATTCTGTAAGATTATCTGCTATCGAAACTCCATCCTTCTTCACCTCGGCTTCAATGTAACGAAGTTTCCGCTCCATCTCATCACAGCGACGCACCTCATTCACAAATTTTCTTTGAAAGTAGTTTACATCGACGTTGAGCTGTGATTAAAATAAATCAACTTATGATATTTAGGCCCTGCTTAAGTTTCCCATAATTTTTGCAATAATTATTAATTAAATAAGATTAGAATATAAAGATTAAAAAGTTTTCAACCTGAACCCGACAACCCAAAATCAACACGATGACACAAACGAACCTGAAAAAATTTTAAAAGCATCACTAACAAAATTTTACTGAAGAACGAAAAAACGATAAATCTCTGACGGTGGTATTCAGCTTATTTTCAAACTGTAATTTTTATTCGTAATAATAAATAATTAAATATTTTTTTTAAAGTTTCAATTTATTGTTAAATTTATGATAAACATATATGTTTATCATAAATTTAACAATGATGTTTTAACGTAGATTATATTTTTCCTACATATATGTAGGAAAAATATGTAAAGTATGTACATTTATAATGTGCAAAAATTTGTTAGGGATTGCAACAAATTATTTTTTTCACTTCAAGTAAAAAGGCACTGAATCGTTTGTTACCAGGTTCTTACGTCTGCAATAAGTTTCTTAATAACGAAGTTGATATCATATTTTAAAAATTATATATGTCTTAGATATTTAAATAGATATTTAGCTAATAAATGATTATATGACATTTTACAACACGTCCAAATATAAAATACATTTCATAAAAATGTCCAAGTTATATGTCGATAATGAAGGAATTGTATTTACAGATAGTTTTTTAATATTGTTTCCTCTGTAAGTATAATTTGTAATTAAAATCTGATTCTACTTCTTTACTTATATCGATTGGATAAGTAAAACTAAAGTATGTGTGTCCAATGCAACAAGTTGTTCCAACTAGGTAATGTTGAATATACTCTTGCCAGAAACCGCTTTTTATTATAGATGAAAATGGACGTGTACCAAAAGACGCTCTATATGTTTTTAAAGTTAGTTGCAAACTTGACATATAACATTCGAACTCTGCATAGCTACTTGCTGAAAAAATTATAAAGGTGTGCTATCTGGGAAGTATAGAAATATCATTTTTGGATTATCAGCACAGAAAGTATGTCATTTTTAACAATTAATACAGGCGCAAATTAAGTGATTCTCACTGGGAACAGAATAAGCAATGGCAAAAATACTTGATCGCTTACTAATGAAGAGATTATTACAGAAGAGAATGCAAAAGTATTTTACGTCTGATGAATTTATAGAAGCAATATTAAAGAGATCCAGTTCTTTGTAATTCAAAGCATTCTAACCAGGTTTATATTAAAAAAAAAAGTTTTTCTTCAACAATAAAACCTGCGAGAAAAGCAAAGTGCACATACCTATAAAAAAATGTTTTATAATTTCTATTTTTAAATTCTTAATGATGAAAAGTTTTTGTAATTCTAGATAATTTTTCAAAAAAATTATATAAATATAAATATAAGAATACATATCTTACATCACGAAACTGTACAGTTCCAGTTTCACCGAGTTCAGAAACCGAAAGGTATGCGGCCTCTGGCTGTATGAACAGCTGACAGAGGGCCATATCTTCGCTCCTAAACATCGCTCCCATCTTGACAGCTAACTATCACTTATCCTGAAACAGATATCAAAATTTTTCTATTAAAAAATTTATTTTTTTCGAATTTAATAAAGGAATGTTTGAATTATCCCTTAACAAACAAAATATTTAATAGATACGAATTTTAAGTCGGTTTGCAAAAATTCAAAATGGTGGATCTAATATGAAAGACGAGTTTTGTAAAAAATCATCGGATTTATCTTCATTCATCTTCGAATTGGCACTCAAGAATTTTTAGGGTCGCTGATTACCAACATAATGTCTTTGAAATTTAACAATTGACTATGTCATTTTGGTAAAAGAATAGTTTTTATTAATGAGAAATTTTTGAAAAAATATGAGGGGAATAGGGCCTAGCAATTAAATATGTTGAAATACACATAAAGCAAGCATAATGAAGAATAGGTTTTTACATCTGTGTAAAATGGGTTGCCATGTTATCAGGGGCTCTATATATTCCTGCAGTATAATTTTCAAATGGCAATAACTTTTACTTTTTCAAAACTTTTTTTAAAATTAATTATTCCTAAAAAATTACAATAATGCATACGTTTAATATTATAGATAATCCTAGACGAGGACGATTTTTGCGATTTCGGCATAATCATACCATTCAAAGAAGACAAAGAAATTCTGCAACAAACTTTGTCAATTTACTCATGACAATGACTGACTCCATTTATCGTCAACCTATATGGGTAAACGTAATTTTCGGAGAAACTTTAGAGGACAAAATTTTCGAGGCCGCAACTATCAAGGCGGTAACCATCGCGGACGTGTAAATCCAGGATCAAAATTAATTTTAATTAAAAACTATTCGTAATTTTTATTCTAATAAAAAAAATTGTTTCATATAAAGTTCCACTACTTTCGTGGTAGTAAAAATGTATTTTTTATAAATAAACAAAAATAGTTTATCATGAATATTAAGTTGGTTTTAATTATTTAAATGTAGGTAATCTATATGATATATTTTTGAAAAAAGTTGCTAGCTAGCGCAGAACATGTTAATTTTTCAAATTTTTTATTAATGAATCCATTTCAAATCAGGCAGACTGATCAACTTCAAATCATGGATTTAACTGCTGATAAAATATGTTATTCTATATGGAAAATAAAGGGACCCGTATTTTTTTATTTTTCATAAAAACTATTTTGAAAGAAGTTATGCATATTTGAAGTTTCAGTGCGGTAAAACTCGAAAAAACATTGGAAAAAAATGGTTTCGCTTGTAATTTTTTTTCTAATGAGTATAAACAAATTCTTTTTCTTGAAACTTGTAGATGGGCTAGTCCTCTTCAAAATCCAATTTGAAATTTGAGAAAAAAATTCAAAATTAACGAAATAAGAGATAGTTTTCTAAAAAAAATAATGTCGATTTTCTCAAAAACCCCACTTTCTTTCTTTCTAAATTTTACCATAAATTCTCATTAATATGAAGAACTTATACAAAAATATTAATATGAAGAACTTATACTTATACTTATACTTTACAAGCGGGCTAAACCATCCTGTCAGCCAGGAGAATTTTTTTACGAAATAATTCTTTTTACAAAATTTGAAATTGTTTACGTGCATTTTGGAGAACAAATAAACGAACTGAAGTAAGTCATTATAATTAATAATAATAAATGCAAGGAAAATTTATTTTTTGAAAAACTATTATCGAGAAAAAATTATTTTTTATGAATTATTTTGGAATAATGTTTTATTTAAAAATTAAAAAAATAATTGAATTTTTAGAAATTTGTATTTAAAATTTTTTTTTATAAATAATATAATATGTAAATAAGAAGCAAATGTCACGCCCACAAATAAAGTATTTAATTTATAATTATTATTATTACTTAAAAGAATTCGCTATAGATATACACTCAGAAAAAAATTTGTTCGAAACAACAAAATTTTGGTTGAATCAACCAAATAAATGCATTGCTATACAGTCAACCAAACGTTTGTTTGATTCAACCAAATAATTTCTTCCAATACGTTTATTTGTATTAACCAAATGGTTATTACACTTAACCAAAAATTTTTATGTAATATAACTAAAAAATTTGTTTATTTTAAGAGAAAAGATTTGTTTGATTTAAATAAATAGTTTTAGTAAACGCATTTGGTTCCTTTAAATAAATATTTTTGTTTACTTAATTTTGTTATTTATTTTCCTCTAACAATATTTGAATTTCATAATTTAATATTTTCTAGTACATATTATTAGTTAATTTATAATTTATTATATAATTATTGATATTTTAAAATTTTACATATAATAAATCATAAATTAACCAATAATATGTATATACTTGAAAATATTAAATTAGAAAACTCAAACATTATTAGAGGAAAATAAATAACAATGAAGTAAAATATTGTATATTTCTTCATATATAAACAAAATAAACTAACTAACCGACACTTATAATTTTTTGTTTCTTTGATTTACCGATTTAACTAATAAATTTGACGCGAACGCGGACTGTAGACAAGTGAGATCGCCATTTTTAAATTCACACATGTACTTTTTGAGACAAGCAAATATTTTTGTTTGACTCAAATAAAATGATTTGGTTGAATCAAACAAATTTGTGTGTTGTGTCGATCAAACTGTATTTAACTAAACAATATTCTCTATTCAAAACACAAATTTGGTTAAATGAAACAAACAACTTCAAATAAAAAATTTCTTTCCAATAACCAAACAAATTTTACGTATTTATTAAAATGAACCAAATTTTTATTTAAATCAACAAAATTGTTCTATCGTGACAAATAAAATAGGTTAATTAAACAGTTTGGTTAAGTGAAATAAACTTTTTCTCTGAGTGTAACAGCTAAAAAAACGCGCGCGTAGTTTCTCCTAGTATCAATAGATAATTAATAACTTAATGCCTATTAACAATAAAAACGGGTACCTACACATGTGTAATCATAAAAAATAATTAAAATATTTAAAACAATCAAAGGGCTTAGGGGGTTAAGTGTGCAAAAACTGCCCCCGCATCTATTTTTCTCAAATTTGGCCCATATATTACTATCCATATGACTATAACTTTCTGCAATTTTGAACTCAAAATTCGCTTTTTTGGGGGAGTTATGGAGGGGGAAAGAAAAATAAAAAAACTTATTTTTCTCGAAAACTACTGAACCGATTTTAATGAAATTTTAAGAAGTTGTAAATATAGATAAGACGATTTTAGAAAAAAAAAATCAAAAATTTTTTTTCAAAAAAAATTATTGAAAAAAATTTTTGAAATTTTCAAAATTTTTTTTTAGGGTTATTTTTTTAAGTGACCACTTTTCTATTTTGTTGTAAAAAGTTCCTTATAATGTCCCCTTTAACATATATTTTTTCCAAATTTTTTAAAAATATAGTTTTTGAGTAAAATGTCAAAAACCATGGTCATGCTATTTGCCACGTACGGTAATGCACATATATACATATGGGCAATTTCATGTGATAGGGTATAGCCAAATAAGTATGGAAAAAGTGACCCGAATATATTTTTCCCATTCATTCCTACCCAGTTAAAAATAACTTTTTGAAATTTTTAACTCAAAATTTTGAGTTTTTTGGAACTTATGGAGAGGAAAAAAATCGAAAAACGCATTATTCTCAAAAACTACTGTATGCATTTTAATCAGCTTTGAATATGTTGAAAAGACAATTAAAGAGATTCCAAAAAAAAATTTCAAATTTTTTTTCAGAAAATTTTAAAAATCTTTTTTTTTTGAAAATTTTAAAATGAAAATTTTTTGAAATTTTCAAAAAAAAATTTTCTAGTTCTATTAAAGTGACATTTTTATGTATTTTCTCATTTCATTCTCTTATGTGATCTACTTAATAAAAAAATTTTGTCCGACATGATTTTAGGGTGTGTCACGGTAAATAACTCAAAAACATACCCGGTACATTTTTATATTGTATGTAAATGGTTAATTAATTAATTATTTATTTAATTACAAATTAATACTTAGGGGTTTTCTGAATACAAATCTGTAATCGATGTTAAAAAAAATTATTTCCAAAGAAAAATCCAAAAAATTTTATTTTGATTGGGCATTTAAAATTTTTTTCTTTTTGGACCGTTGAAGCGGTAGATCACACTTTTTTATTTAACTTTTTTAACAGTCTTACTTTTTAAAAAATAATGGCGATATTGAGATATTTAGAGTGTAACACGGTAAAAAAAACTCAAAAAATCCTAAAATTTGATTTTAAAATTTTCCAAATTTTTTTGTTTGTCTAAAAATATTTTTTTATATCAACTTCAGATTTGTATTTAGCAACCTCAATAACCCACTAGTAATAAGATGCAAAAATATTTTACAGGTTTTTTAAAATTAATCATTTACATATGTACAACATAAAAATGTACCGGGTATGTTTTTGAGTTATTTACCGTGACACCCTGAAATCATGTCGGACAAAATTTTTTTATTAAGTAGATCACATAAGAGAATGAAATGAGAAAATACATAAAAATGTCACTTTAATAGAACTAGAAAATTTTTTTTTGAAAATTTCAAAAAATTTTCATTTTAAAATTTTCAAAAAAAAAAGATTTTTAAAATTTTCTGAAAAAAAATTTGAAATTTTTTTTTGGAATCTCTTTAATTGTCTTTTCAACATATTCAAAGCTGATTAAAATGCATACAGTAGTTTTTGAGAATAATGCGTTTTTCGATTTTTTTCCTCTCCATAAGTTCCAAAAAACTCAAAATTTTGAGTTAAAAATTTCAAAAAGTTATTTTTAAGTGGGTAGGAATGAATGGGAAAAATATATTCGGGTCACTTTTTCCATACTTATTTGGCTATACCCTATCACATGAAATTGCCCATATGTATATATGTGCATTACCGTACGTGGCAAATAGCATGACCATGGTTTTTGACATTTTACTCAAAAACTATATTTTTAAAAAATTTGGAAAAAATATATGTTAAAGGGGACATTATAAGGTACTTTTTACAACAAAAGAGAAAGTGGTCACTTAAAAAAATAATATCGGTTCAGTAGTTTTCGAGAAAAATAAGTTTTTAGATTTTGCTTTCCCCCTCCATAACTCCCCCAAAAAAGCGAATTTTGAGTTCAAAATTGCAGAAAGTTATAGTCATATGGATAGTAATATATGGGCCAAATTTGAGAAAAATAGATGCGGGGGCAGTTTTTGCACACTTAACCCCCTAAGCCCTTTTGTGCAAAAATTATGATTATAAAATAAAAATTATGCCTATTTTTTCGTTTAGTAAGAAAATTAATTTCGTTAAAAATTGAACAAAATTTATCGCACTGCTTTGCTAACTTTGCACAAAATTTCATTTTTGACCCTCCCAATAATAAATTGAATTTTGGAAAAATTGGTAGGGGGACACTTTTCCCAAAATAAGTTTCCCAACGATTTTTTTTCCCAATGAATTTTTTTCCCAATCAAAACTTTTCCCATAGACTACTTTCCCAAAAAAAAGTTTGTAATTTATTTTTTTATTATTACTTTAGAACTTTATGTGGTATCCAACTGTACGTAAGTAAGATAGAACATCATTGTCTTCAATGTATTTTGAATAATTTTGCACAACAGCTGCAAGATGTTCCTCATACTCTCTTCTCTTTCGATCAATCCCTTTTCTTACGCGTTGACCCAACTGCAATTGGCGCATCATAATTTCCGTGTCCGCTTGTTCCTTCTGCAACTCTTTCAAAAAAACATACAAGCTCGGATGATTTTTACCGACAACTATTTGGAATCTATTATGCCAGCCTTCGGATAAGTTGTTTGTCCGTGCACTGCCGTCTATGACAGAATTATATTGGTTCCATAAATTTCGAGCATATCGTGCTGGACGGCTGG